CAAAATTTTAAAAAAGAAAGAAAATGTCATGATCTAGCTTGAAATATAATGTCCTCTGTCATAGGAGAGTTACCTATACACGTACAAAACATATACAACAATCATTGAAATTCAATATAACTATTATTCAAATGTATACATCAACAGCTAAAACTATTGATGGAGAAGCTGAAGAATTCTACCAACTTTTTCAGTCTGCAATTGGTCAAGCATGCAATCAAGATGCATTGATAATTACTGGCAGACGAGAAAGTCGGAAACAAAGAAGGGACAGTAGTTGGAACAAATAGCTTGAGTGACAGAAACAAAGCTGGCGATTGCCTGGCAGAGTTTGGTGAGACCAATGACTTCTTCATTGCAAATGCCTTTGTCAACAACGTAAATGGCAATCATACACGTGGACTTCAGCAGGTGGAATACACAGGAGCCAAATTGACTACATCTGTGAGAAGAAATGATAGAGAAGCTAAATCGTACTAGCCAAAACAAGACTAGGGACTGACTGTGGAACAGACTATCATTTGTTCCTATGTAAGTTTACGTTGAAGTTGAAGAAAATCGAAACAAGTCAACCTTGAGTATATCCCATCTGACTTTCAATAATGCCTCAAAAATAGATTTGACTTGTTGAATGTTAATGACAAAAGAGCTGTGGAATGACATCAACAGCTGTATACGTGAAGAAAGCAGAAATCATTTTTTTTAAATGGGAAAAAATCAAAGTGGATGTCAGAAGAGACTCTGAAAATTTCTCTTGACTTTACATTAGCTAAAGTCAGTGGAAGAAATGATGACGTAATAGAGCCGAACAGAAAATTTCAAAGGGTAGCTTGAGAAGACAAAGTAAAGTATTATAATGAAAGAGTGGGGTTAGAAAACCAAAATGGAAAAACACACTCAACATATATCAAGCTACAAGAGTTGAAAAAAAATGTTTGAAGCCTTCAGGTGCAATATTGAAAGATCCTATGGGCAAAATGTTGAACACGTAGAAATCATCTAAGAAGATGGAAGGAACACGCAGAGTCACTGTGCCAAAAAGAAGTGGTCAAGATTACATTTTAAGAGGTAGCATATGATCAAGAACTGATGCTATTGAAGAAAAATGCTAAAACTGCACAGAGTATAGGGAAAATAGGCTTCAAGAACTGATGCGATACCAATTAAGGTGTTTCAACGAGCTCACAAATTTCTGAGCCAAGAAATTAGGAAGATAACCACCTGGTCCACAGACTGTAAAAGATTTCTATTTGTGCCCATTCTGAAGAAAGGAGGGAAAAATCCTCCCCACTTAACCAATTGGTAACATCAGGATAAATAGAGAAAAGGTTGAAGCTGTCAAGGATTTTATCTTGCTTGAATACATGCTCATGGAAGCAGCAGTTAAGTGATTAAATGATCCATTTCTGTGGGTAAATTGACTGTACAAAAATGTCTTTAAAGTGTTAAAAAGCAAGGATGATGTCTAAGGTGCACCTGACCCAAGCCATGATATTTTGAATCCCCTTATCTGCATGTGAAAGTTGTACATTGAATAAGGAAGGCCAAAGAAGAATCTATGCATTTTAATTGTGGCACTAGTGAAGAATACTGACAGTACTACTGTGGTAGTTGCATGCTCTGGTGTCAACTTGAGACTGTGAAGAGTGAAGGGTGGAGTTTAGCCTGTCAATCAGGTTGTAGCTTGATGACCTCATTTGGAGGCACTAAGGAGATAAATAGCTCACTGGAGGCCAGACCCACTCTCTCTGCTTGACATTCCTGTTAACAAGTTACATGGAGCCAGAGGAGCCATGTGGAGACCCATGTCAGCGCTGAGATACTTTCACTGCCACTGGACCCACAAGTCTTTCCATCCACTGGCCTTTGATCTTCCTGCATTCTGCATCATTCTATGTGTTGCCTGATTATGAAGAATTTATAGACTGATATCAGACATATGGACTAACATTGGATTTATGGGCTTAATCTGGACTAGGCTGGGATGTTTTCTTAATAAACAATTACTCTTCATATAAAGCTCTTTCTTATACACATATGAGTCTCTATGAATTTGTTTCTCTAATCAACACAGACTAACACAACATGGACTGCCAAAAAAATAAGCAGGTCTGTCTTGGAAGAAGTACAGCCAAAATGCTCCATCGAAGTGAGGCTGATGAAAATTCATCTCATGTACTATGGGTATGTTATCAGGAGAAACCAGTCCCTGAACAAGGCCATCATCCTTGGTGGAGTGTAGGGACAGCAAAAAAAGAGGAAGACCCTCAACGAGATGGATTAACACAGTGGTTGCAACATACACACAATTGTGAGGATAGCAGGACCGGGCATTGTTTCATCCTGTTGTACTTAGGGTTCCCCTACATTGGAACTGATTCACGGCCCCTAACAGCAACAACCAAAGACAGTTGATCCAACAGAATGCAAAAAATATTGAACAGTATCATTAATATTGCAAGCAAGTAAGGTCTTGTTGAAATTAATTCAACAGTTGCAGCAGTACATCTGTAGGGAGTTTCCAGAAATTCAAGGCAGATTCAGAAGAGGACATGGAGCAATGGATGTCATTGCTGACATCAGGTGGATCTGGGCTGAAAACAGCAAATACCAGAGATAGGTTTACTTGTGCTTTATTGACTATGCCAAGGCATTTGAGTGTAGATCAGGGGTTCTCAAACTTTTTAAACGGGGCCAGTTCACTAAAAAAACTATGAACAAATTCCTATGCACACTGCACATATCTTATTTTGAAGTAAAAATACAAAATGGGGCAAAAACACCCGGCAGGGCCAGATAAATGTCCTCCGTGGGCCACATGTGGCCCACGGGCCGTAGTTTAAGGACACCTGCTGTAGATAATTCCGAACTCTGGCTAACACTGCAAGGACAGGAATTCCAGAACAAGCCAGATGTTCATTCCTTTGGGGCACAAGTACAGCGTAACAGCTTTCTTATCAATAGGAAGACATTTGTGGCTAAAATTTAAAAAAAAAAAGAGTCTCTGGTCTGAGGTTAATTGAAGTTTTGTTCCTCCAATACAAATAGCAAACTTGTGCCAGGAACCAGAGTTCACCTTACATGGTCCAAGGACACCACTCTCTCAACCAGGTGAGGTTGCAGTTTGTTTTGTCGAACGTACCCATAGCGAAAAGCAATGTGCTTCAGTCCAAACATGCCCCGTTCATACCTGCTCCATGCTCCTGAATTTGACATGCGGCAGGCAGATGAATTCAGGACTGTTTGCGTAGAAAGGCAGGCTTGAGGAGAGGCCCCATAAGACAAACCAGTATTGAGCAAAAAATGTGTCTTTCCCTCGATGGGCCTGAAGTGAGCTGGGAGCCCCTGAAAAATCCCAGCAAAGTGAACCTGCTGTTCTCCATGTTAAAGCGGCAAGGCTGCTCTGACCTCTAGGGAGCTTGATATCAGGTCTAATGGAATGCAACACGCAGCTGACATCAGAGCCGTCTCTGATGGCACATCAAAGGGAAGGAAGTGGACGCTTTGATCCTCACAGTCATTGCTCTCCACTGAAAAGTTTAACAAAAGGGGGGTGCTGGGGTGGGGGTGGGGCTCTGGGACTTTGACTTTTCTTTCTGCTCTTAATGTTGTTCCTCAAGTTACTGGGGAGATGGAGTGGGGGTCCTGGCTTTGAGTGATTTTCCTGGTGTAATTTTACATGATTTTCACTCCTTCCCTTGTCGATACTCTGGTTCAAAAATTTTAATACTAGTGTTTCATTTATTTAGCTTGATTATTAACCCTTATTAGAACATAAGTGCCCCCCCTGCGCGAGACTATCACTTAAACCATATAATCTTCAGTGGAAGTGCCAGTTTTAGAGAGTATTTCAGATCTTGACGCTAGGCTAGATAAAAAAATGTTGCCCCCAGTGACCACAGGGTGAGAAGTCTGGATGTGGGGTACCTGTTTCCTCCGTGAACAAGCCCCTGTCTATCCCTCCGACCTTGTGTCTGTCCCAGACACATTCATCTCTAACAGCCCAGCCAACCCTCCTGCCTTGTGGCTTTTCACCTGTGTCTTTGTTTTGGTTTACCCCTGCCTCAGGACAGGCTGCTCTCCGGAATGGAATGCCAGCAAGGTCGAGGATGAAATCCCACTCAGCCTTCCTCCTGGAATTTGCTGAAGAGTAGACTGACTATATAAGTGTTCTTGATACACATGAATGAATAAGAAAAATCCCTTCCTATCTGTTTTCTCTTCATTCTGTAGGTTTCCAGACGAGTGGTGTCTACACGAAGCTCTGGAAAGATGGGGAATAAGAGATGGAAAGCGGGAGAGAGATGAGCGGGTCTGGAGTTCCCCCGTGTGAAAGGGCAGCCACTGAGCCTGCAGTAATCAGTTCTCCCAGCCTCAGCGCCCTCCTCTGTAAGACCAGGATAAGGCCACCCCTACTTCACAGGACGGTTGTAAGAAACAAACATGTTAACGCAGGTTTCAATAAACAAGACAACTGTGGGTGAAGGGAGACAACGGGTGGTGTAAGATATGAAATACCAGGTCTGCAAGGAAAAATTGGGGTCCTGGTAGTTGGGGGGAGGAAGCGTTTAAGAACTAGAGGAAGGTTGTTTTGCTGATTAAAAAAAAAAAAAAAGAGCTGAAGTAGAAAGAAAATGCTTTGAAAAGGATGATGGCAACGAATGTACAAATATGCTTGACACAATGGATGTATGTATTGATTGTGATAAGAGCCGTGAGAGCCCCCAATAAAATGATTTATTTTTTAAAAAAAGATATGAAGTACCAATAATAATATATAATTGATCAAGGATTCATGAAAGTGGGAGAATGGGGGGGAGGGAGGGGAAGAGTGGATACCAAGGGCTCAAGTAGAAAGAAAATGTTTTCAAAATGATGATTGCAACATATGTACCAGTGTGCTTAGTACAATTGAATGATGGGTTCTTATAAGATCTGTAAGAGCCCCCAATAAAATGAGGTTTTATTAAAACGACAGCTGGCATTGGCCTGGTTCCGTTGGTGCTGACTGATGTGGTAAGAACATGATTCGGAGCGGATGTTCGGAGGTTTTGCCGGAGAAGGAAGAGTACGGGCCAGCCTTGTGGAAGTGGAGAGGAGAGAAAGAACTATAAAGAGCCCGCAGAAGGAGACAGAGCTGAGGAGGCTGAAGAAGGCTTAGGAAACCCTGGCTGAGGATAATCCCGCTCTTAAACAGTGTGTCAGAGACTTCACGCACCTTACTCTCTTTTGTTTCCGTCTTGTGATTCTGTTAGGATGAATGATAAGTGGACGAGCCTTTGCTGCTGCCCTTTAGAAATGATAAATTAAACCACCTCCCTTTGAAGTACAGCGCTCACTAACAATACCTGCGGCTGAAATATGGACAAGCCCACCCAAACAAAGAGGACAATATGAGAACCAGGTGGGCTACCTCAAAGCTACCCTCAAGTTGCTGACTGCACCAGAAGATGCCCGCCATGGCGATCAGCAGTCTTCTCATTAACTGCGGTCCCCTCCTGAACCTCTTTTCCCTGGCCTAGAAAATCACTCCCGGACCTGTTCCTCAACGAGAAGGGTTTTGCTGGGTAAGATCCTCTTTACCTCCTTGAATGCTAGTACTCAGTAAGTACTCTTTGCTCTCCCTTCTACTCCATCTCATGAACCGGTGACCCTGGACAGGCTGCCCGAATTATCCACGTTTCAAGGAGGAGGAGACGGAAATGGGTGGGAAGGTTGCTGCCAAAATGTAGTGGGACCAAAGGCAACAATAACAAAACCCCCACAGTTGCCCATGGCCCCATCAGCAAACTCAAACAAGCACACAAATGAATAGTTCCCTAGGGAACAGAGCTGAAGGCAAAACTTACTAAAGCTTCTCCTTGGGAGGCAAGAATGAAGAGGCAATGAGGCACGGTAGGTGGGCAAGCAAATGCAAAGGGTTACAGTAAGAGAAGGTTGACAGGTCCTGGCTTGGGTGAAAGGGAGGATGGAATCCTGTAGGAAGGAGAAGAGAAATCAGGAAGTGGATAGGTGAGATAGGATGTGGGGAGGAGCAGTTGATCAGTGGTTTGAACTATTCAATATACATAGAGTTGGTCTGAAATCAACTGCCCCGCCCATCCCGCCCCAAAACACACATACCTAAATTCACAACCAAATTTCATCAAAAATAAGTACATAAATTAGAAAATAAGGCATGCACAGGTTCAGGGAAAATAAAGTCTTGTGTTACACACTAGCCGCTCTTTCATCTGAAACTGGTGGTACACGGCTCTGTCGAAAGTCATGTCTCAAAAGAGACCATCAAACAGAGACGTGGAGTGGGAGTTTCTCTGATGGCTTCCCTCCCTCCAGTCTCCAACCGGCTGAAATTCTCCCCATGTAAAGCAATTCTCCAGCATTCTGATTACCCAATAATCGGGATAAACTTGGCTTTACTTGTGCTTTACTTACTAATTTGTAGTGAACAATTTTTGCACATTCTTCTCACTACGTCAAAGATTCTGCTGCTAGGTAAAGCTGACATCTGTCTCTCTCCCAACCCAATCCTGCCGCACCTTCCTCCAGAATCCCAGGCTCTAAAAGGAGGGGTATGCGCAGCAAGAAAGGCCAGCACAGGCTACTTGTGATTACTTACTAGTCTATAGTGAATAGTTTCACATGAATTTCACTACATCAAGGAAGTCTCTGGGTTGCCTGACCTGTCCTCTGAGGAAGCCGGGTTTCATACCTTGTGGTGCTGGGGTGCTTCATCCAAATCTGGCATTGGTAGGAGGAGCTAGAGGCTGCCTTTAAGGTACATGAGGATTTCTGGGTCTCTAGGGAATACCAAGAGTTAATGCATTGGGCCATTAACCAAAAGCTCAAGATTAGCTGCTCAAGTTCAGCCACAGGGAAGAAAGGCTGGGAGATCTACTTTTTGAAAGAATCAGTCCCTGGAGCACCATTCTACTCTGACACGCCTGGGGTCACCTTCAGTTGGCATCAACCTCACCCAAATTTGGTTGTACTCCTACGACACAAGCAAAGGAATTCCAGACTTCCAAACCACACTATCATCACTGCTTCAGTACAGCAATGTCTCCCACTTTCTGTAACAGTGTCCATTTGGTGCTGAAAGCACACCTTCAGTTCTGGATGGCTCACCACCTGAGCAGAACCAATTATGGCTCTGGTCCTCACCTCTCCCAGATGCTCCCAACATTCTAGAGTATTCTGATAATCCCACACTCTCAGCTCTTGTTTCCAGTGACCCCACAACCTGGTACCCACACCTATTCAGTTCAGTATTCTGTTGGCTACCATTCCTGTAATTACAGCAGAAATCAAGTCCACACCTCTATGCACAATTGGCAGCACCTCTATGATGTGGTGCCCTTCCCTGGGGCACCACGACACATACTAAAAGCCACCAAAGGAAATGTGGGACCAAACCCCTTTTAGGTTTAACATCTATTTTTATCATCACAACCAAGGACAGAGAGAGATTGTAGGACTTTTCTCCAGTGACAAAGAAAGTTGGTGGTGAATAATCTTGTAACCCCAAAGTCTCCTATTGAAGGTCAACTCTTGTAAACAGCCTTGGTGTCTACATAAGGGGCACATATTACAGTGCACTGCTTGGCGTCACGTCCCCTCTTTTCCTTGTCTGAAAAGCACATTGCTTGACATCATCCAATACTTCCAAGTCATCTTTTCCAGAAAAAGAAAGAAAGAAAAGAAAAACAAGAGGTCTAGCCAACTGTCATTTAGTTTGGACTTTAGTTCTCATACAGCTTCTGTTGCCAACCAGCTATATGACCTTGAGAAAACCATTTAAATTCCTTACTCTTTCAGCTGCTTGTCCCCTTACACTGTGGAGTAGTGTTTATTTTACATCAGACTAAATCAAAGTCTGAATGGGACATTCCATGAATTTTACAGGAGATGGTAGAAACCAACTAGTAACTGAAACACTGAAAACCTTTACTTCTAAATTTCACAAAGGGGTTAAGTGGACTTGAGAGCTGGTGGCTGGCAGAGCACAAAAAGAGTCACATGACCTCCCTAAATGCTGCCCGCCCCCTGCTTTTGTAACCTACCAAGGAACTCCGTTCTTTGACGTGTGCACAGGCCTCCAGAGACCTTGATGCATTTCCCTTTGCTGCCAAGATATTGGCTTCACTTCGTTGAGCTACTTGTTGCTTTGCATACAATGGGTACATGGTTGGACTGGGATGGAGGGCGGATGGAATGCAGAAGAAGTTAGTTAACCTACTCTTTCATTCGACTCTTCCCCCAACTCTTGCTCTCTGTTAACTGACAGCTACTTCAGCTGAGTTGGTGATGGTATCATGCTCTTTGCACGGTGAAGAGGTCTTGTCTCCTGGTGCCTATATTAGCCCACAGGGTGCCAGAAAGGAAGGAACTTGGGAGGTTGCTTCTTCTGTGGACTGGTTCTCAAAATGTGCCTCATGTAATTCAAGGGATGTTAAAGAGATATTTTCAGGAATGACTACAGGGAGCCAGATAACAAAAGATTGAGCTTTGGTTATTGAGCTGTGACATTCACACCCGCCCACAAACTCTTCAACACTGTGTCAAAACTACCTTTATTTTCTTTGTTGTTTGTACTTCCATCTAAGATTTTGTGCAAAGAAAAAGTTGCACTGCTAAAATTAACCAATTTCACACATGTCCCCAAATTGTCTAGTAAATGAAGACCAGGACAGGTCATGGACTAGCCCAGGTATACCCAGCGACTCAGTGACTCTACTAGAACGTCTAGAGCCATCTCCTGACTGGCACACGGGGGCTGCTTCAATCATACATCAACGGAGATGAGCCTTTACCTAAGTGTGCTTCAGTGTGAGGGTAAGGAATGTCAGCTCTATTCTCACTTTGGAATATACCACAGACGTGGAGACTAACAAACAGATCGGTCTTGGACAGACAGAGTGCTCCCCAGAAGTTAGAGTGGCAAGGAATTGTGTCTCCTGCTTCAGACATGGTGTCACGAGGGGCAAAGTTTCTGGAGAAGAGCATCGTGCTTGGCAATGGCATTGCAATGAGGAAGATTCTCCACAGGCTGGGTGACACGGGGCTGCCACAGTGGGCTCGCACACAGGGCAGGGTTAGGCAGCAGTTTGTTCTGTTATTGTTAACGCCTGTGTGAGTTGGAACTGATCGAAAGATACCTAACCTTTCCATTTTGCATCTGGAGTAATATGATTGCAGTAATCCCCCAAAATATATTTTGTAGTATTGCTCTCTCTTGTAACGGAGGTGGTTTTATAAATAGAGCCCAGGAGTCCCAGAGAAGGCAACTGATCTGTTAAAACTACCTGATTTGTTCATCAATGGCCAACCAACATCGGTGATCCTTTCCCTTTCCTCTTCCAAAGCTAAGTTCCGGCCTCTGTGTTTCAGACAGTGACGGGACAGGAGAACAAGAACAGGGAGCGTGTTTAGTGACGAAAACGTCTGCCTGCTGTCTGACTTCCATGACTGGGATGTGCAGAGTAACCCTGAAAGCTGACAGGTCTTTCGGAATTCTGACTCACGTGAAACGATAGCCTTAACCACATCCCTGTGTTGTTTATGTGCTTACTTGTCTCTTCATTATAATGTAAGCATCCTGAAGGCAGGGGCTATGTCTGTTTTGTTTGCTACAGTATTCCAACAACCGATTCAC